TTCGAGTAAGTTGCCAACTCGGGAAGTTGAAAACCTGGAGGACTAGAATTTTAAAGGGATGTCCCCAATCCAAGTATGTGTTAATGAGATCAAACCCAGACACCGGGTATACGTGGTACCCACGTACGGGCCCGTGAAAGTTTTTTTGGGTAAACTGCTAACTCGGGAGCCAGGAAAGCTAGAAAGCTAAAATTTTAAGGGGGCGTTTCCTGATAGTTCTGGCGGCCAGTCTTAATTTGTTTAACTAGAAGCATTTGCCGGAAAAACCGGTGCCGGAAGCGACAGAAACTGCTGGAAACTATGCAAAAAAACGCATCTTCGCACGGGCAGCCCTTGTGCACTGGACAATTATTGTATTTGCATATGTACAAAGGGCATAAAAGCCGTTGATTAATTCCCTGACTTTATCGTATTCCAATCCACAACCGTGAGCTCAAATTCAGACGAACTTTGTAAAGCTTCTGAAATTTGCAGCTTTCAGTACTGCCAACGTCCTACAGCAAAAGCAGGTGATCGCACCGGCCCTATCAACACGCCATTCGTTTTAACATCGTATGTGGCAAAAACGCTCATAAAAGCGACACGTCCTTTAATTTAATCACCCACATAAACGGATCACAGGCAGATACGCAACCGAAATTTGCCAAATTAAATGGATTGTTGTAGAACTGAGATCACACGAACAGTTAAAAGGCATGATTGTGCATTCAATCTTGAGATATACAGTTCAACACTGAGAAGCTCGGCAATACTGCACTTGGCGTGTGAACACAAAAAGATGCGTCTGTGAGTCCACTTACAAGCCCATTCCCGATAAGTGCTTTCAGATACCCAGCGGCAGCGTATAATCAATGCAAACGCAGCATTTGGTGCTTTGAAGACCCGCGATTACAATACTTTTTATTAGAAGGCAAATTAAAGCAAATTAAAATAGAGCTAACTGAGCACAGAAATGGCAAATTATGAAAGGCGCAACAACTTCTACGTGTAACAACTTTAAATTCATAAACACGCAACAAAATTCGTAGTAACCGTAGCAATAATGCTATC